AACCACCCAACGTGCGGGGTTCTTATAGCCCCTGTACTTTCGCAGATGAGCGGCTCAGAACGTTATGCACGGTGGTGCGGAGCGTTCTAAAAGGATATGTAATCCAAAGAAAAAGGTTAATTTCATAAAATCCATTAGAACTATTTCCGCATAGTCCTTCTAGTGAATTTGGTGTTTTTTTTTTTTTTTTTTTTGGGGGGGGGGGGGGGGGGGCTGGTTTAAGAGGCTATAAAAAGCCCTCAACTTTCATTGTTTCATATGGATGTTGGTTTGGTGAGTGTTTCGTGTGAGAGAGCAAACACAAGGGAAACACGAGTTTGTTAGTGAATCATTCATCATGCAGAACAACAATGGGAATGTGAATTCACTAAATCAGTTGCCTATCTTCAAAGGCGTGAATTATCATTTTTGGAGCCTAAAAATGAAGACTCTCTTCAGATCACAAGAGTTGTGGAATACTGTTGAGAGTGGCTTTGAAGATAATGGAACTGAGGAGCCAGACCAGGAGTTGAGGGAGAAAAGAAAGAAAGATGCCAAAGCACTTTTCATCATTCAACAGGCACTTGATGAAGAAGTGTTTCCACGCATTGCAGCAGCTTCTACAGCAAAAGAAGCATGGAGTACTCTTAAGCAAGAGTATATGGGAGACAAGAAGGTGATTGCTGTCAGATTACAATCATTAAGAAGGGAGTTCGAAACTTCTCAAATGAAGGATAAAGAGACAGTTCAAGAATACCTTTCCAGAGTGTCCAGCACTGTGCAGCAGATGAGGTCATATGGAGAGGATGTCAAAACTCAGCAAGTGGTGAGTAAAGTTTTGAGAAGCCTTACAAAGAAGTTTGATCATGTTGTAACTGCAATTGAGGAATCCAAGGATATGGAGACCTACACGTTTGATGAACTCATGGGATCTCTTCAAGCACATGAAGAGAGACAGTCCAGAGGAGAAGACAAGAAAGAAGAGAAGGCTTTCCAAGCAAAAGGAGAGTCTTCAAACAAAGAAAGATTCCAACAGAATTCAGGAAGAGGCAGAGGCAAGGGAGGCTCAAGAGGAAGAGGCCGTGGAAGGGGACAAAGTAATGAGGGAAGAGATCAGTATTCTCAAAATTACAAAAGTCCTCTCAAATGCTATTATTGCAAGAAGCCAGGACATAAAGAAGCCAGCTGTTGGAAGAAAGAGGAGGATGAACAGAAAGGTGGGCAAAAGTCTAACTTTGTGGAGCAAGAAGAGAAACTGTTCTTGGCACAAAATGCATCAAGCAGTGATGAAGGTTGTTGTGTCTGGTATGTTGACAGTGGGTGCTCAAACCATATGTCAGGTGCCAAGATCATGTTCAAAGAACTGGATGAATCATTAAAGAGCAAAGTAAGACTTGGAGATGGAAAACAGCTTGAAGTGGAAGGAAGAGGCACGATTGCAATCAAAACTGAGCAAGGTAACACTAAGCTCTTATATGGTGTGCAATATGTGCCAAATTTGGCTCATAATTTGTTGAGTGTGGGTCAATTGCAATCTTCTGGATATTCAGTGTTGTTTGAGAATGATTTCTGTTTGATCCGTGATATGAAGTCCAAAGAAGTTGTAGTAAAGATTGCTATGGGGAAAAACAGAATGTTCCCTCTTGATTTGTCTGGCAATGTGAGCAGAGCACTGACAGTTAAAGGAGATGATGATGCCAAGCTGTGGCATTTGAGGTATGGTCATTTGAATATGCAGGGACTGAAGCTATTGAATTCCAAAGACATGGTGCTTGGATTACCTAAAACTGGAGAGCTTGAGCTGTGTGAAGGTTGCATCTATGGGAAGCAATCAAGAAGATCATTTCCTAGTGGAAAAGCCTGGAGAGCAAGTGAATGCCTTGAACTTGTCCATGCAGATTTATGTGGCCCAATGAAGACAGTTTCACTAGGTGGAAGTAAGTACTTCTTGCTCATTACAGATGATTATAGTAGAATGAGCTGGGTTTATTTTCTTAAAGCTAAATCTGAAGCGTTTGATTGTTTTAAGATTTTTAAGGCTATGGTTGAAAAACAGTCTGGTGTGTTTATAAAAGCATTAAGAACAGATAGGGGTGGTGAATTCTTGTCAAATGAGTTCATCACATTCTGTGAGGAGTATGGCATAAGAAGAGAACTGACTGCACCATATACTCCTCAGCAAAACGGAGTAGCTGAGAGGAAGAACAGGACAGTGGTTGAGATGGCAAGAAGTATGCTCAAAGCAAGAAATGTGCCAAACAAGTTTTGGTGTGAAGCTGTGGCGACAGCTGTGTACATCCTCAACATTTCTCCCACAAAAGCAGTCTTGAACAGAACACCATTGGAAGCTTGGAAAGGAAAGAAACCTTCTGTAAGTCATTTGAAAATTTTTGGGTGTACAGCTTATGCATTGGTAGATTTGAGGTCTAAGCTAGATGATAAATCTGTTAAATGTGTATTCATTGGCTATTCTACTCAATCCAAGGCATATAGACTGTATAACCCTCTCACTGACAAGATCATTGTCAGTAGAAATGTTGTATTTGATGAAGATGCAGGCTGGAATTGGGAGGAAAGTGAAGTTAGTGGCAGTGTTCAGCAGAAATCAGTGGGCTTTAATGGTTCAGAGGAGGATCCAAGTGTGCCAGAGAATAATAATCACACTCCTAGTCCTCCTTCCACACCATCATCATCAAGTCAGGGCTCATTGTCTCCCTCCAGCTCATCATCATCAGGCTCATCAAGTGATTCTGCTCCAAGGAGATACAGGTCAGTAATTGACTTGTATGAAAATTGTGATTTTGCACTAATGGCCACAGATCCTGTCTGCTTTGAGGAAGCTGAGAAAGAAGTTGAGTGGCAGAATGCAATGAGAGAGGAGATCAGGTCCATTGAGAAGAATGAGACTTGGAAGTTGGTAAATCTTCCTGAAGGAAAGAATGCCATTGGACTGAAATGGGTGTTCAGAACCAAGTTCAACACTGATGGGAGCATTCAAAAGTACAAGGCAAGGCTTGTAGCTAAAGGGTATGCACAACAAGAAGGGATTGATTTTGAGGAAACATTTTCACCAGTGGCAAGGTTTGAAACTGTGAGAGTGGTGCTTGCTTTGGCTGCTCAGTGGAAACTGGAAGTGTTTCAGCTGGATGTAAAGTCTGCATTCCTTAATGGAGACTTGCAAGAAGAAGTTTATGTTGAACAACCACTTGGCTTAGTCAAAGAAGGTGAGGAAGACAAGGTGTACAAGCTAAAAAAGGCATTATATGGGTTGAAACAGGCTCCAAGAGCCTGGTACAGCAAGATTGACTCATTCTTTCTTCAAAATCAGTTTGAGAGAAGTGAGAATGAGCCAACTCTTTATGTGAAGAAGGAAAGCAAGAATGACTTCGTAGTGTTATGTCTCTATGTGGATGACATCATTTATTTCAGCTCCTCTCAGAAATTGCTAAGTGAGTTTAAGGCAGCAATGATGGAGAAATTTGAGATGACAGACCTTGGGTTGCTTCAATACTTCTTGGGTCTAGAAGTAAGGCAAGGAGAAAATGGAATATTTTTGTGCCAAAGGAAGTATGCAGAGGATTTATTGAAGAAGTTCTCAATGGAGAAGTGTGAACCAACAAGAACTCCAATGAACACAAACGAGAAGCTTCAGAGAGAAGATGGGACAGAGAAAGCATATGAGAAGATTTTCAGAAGCTTAGTTGGTGGTTTGAACTATCTCACACACACAAGGCCTGACATAGCTCACAGTGTAAGTATAGTGTCACGTTACATGCATTCTCCAACTAAGCAGCATCTTGGAGCAGCAAGAAGGATTATGAAATATGTTGCTGGCTCAATTAAGCTTGGAATTCTCTATGAAAATGTTGAAAATTTCAAGTTAATTGGATATACTGACAGTGACTGGGCAGGTTGCTTGGATGACAGAAAGAGTACATTTGGGTCTGTGTTTAGTCTTGGCTCAGGAGCTATCACATGGAGTTCTAAGAAGCAAGACACAGTGGCCTTATCTTCGTCTGAAGCTGAATATGTAGCTGTTGGTGCAGCAGCAAGGCAAGCAATTTGGTTAAGAAAACTGCTAAAAGACTTGTGCTGTGAGCAAGAAGGTGCAATTGAGCTTTGGTGTGATAACAAGTCGGCTATAGCTATGACCAAGAACCCAGCTTTCCACACAAGGACCAAGCACATAGAAGTTCAGCATCATTTCATAAGGAAGTTAGTTGCTGAGGAGAAATTGGTTCTGAGATTCTGTGGCACGAATGATCAACATGCTGATCTGTTTACAAAGGCTTTGACTCAAGTCAAGCATCAGTTCTTTTTGGAGAAGATTGGCATGTATGAGCTTGAATTAAGAGGAGGTGTTGAAATGTAATTCAAGCCTCAAGCAGTACACGTATTCATGCAGAATAAGTCAGAGTTAGTTAGCATGCTTCTAGGAAGAATTTGTCAATTCGGTTTACTGGTTTTTAGCTATTAGTTAGGAGCCTTTTATGTTTCAGTTTGAGTCAATTGAGATCCACGTTCTTAGGCATGATGTTAGACGTGGTTAGTGGGAGTCAGTTTTATTCCAATTCTATTTAATCTTGTAATTGTAATCAGGTTTCAATTAAGAAGAACAAGCAGTAGCTTCTTCCATTGTTTACAGTGTGTCCAAATTAGTATCTTCTTCCTCTGTTATTCCAACAAATTTGGTATCAGAGCTAGAGAGAATTCTTGGGTTTGGTGAGTGTTTCGTGTGAGAGAGCAAACACAAGGGAAACACGAGTCAGTTAGTGAATCATTCATCATGCAGAACAACAATGGGAATGTGAATTCACTAAATCAGTTGCCTATCTTCAAAGGCGTG